TATATATATATATATATATTTATATATATGTATGTATGTATATATATGTATATCTGTGTGTGTGTGTGTGTAAAAATTGAAGTATAGGTGTTAGATATGTAAATACATAGGAATTAAGTGGTATGCATGTAAATCTTCCTATAAAACAATATGTCTAGTTAGCAACAAAATAGGTATCAAAGGCTAAATATTCATAATGAATTTTGATTATAATAATATGTGTGAGTTTAGGATGGGTTGGAATGGTCAAATTTAAACAATAATTGACATTAAAAAAATAATGTTTATTTAGAGAAAATAAATAGATAAATGAATTTTGCAAGGTCAACTACCGGTTTCATATAAAAAAAATGTCAATAAATTTATCATGAACATAAATTTATCAGTTATCTATGTATCAATAACACTGTCATTGCCGATCTCAAGCCTAGATGTGAAAACTGGAGATTGTGTTACGTAGTCGACAGCCAGCGTAAAACTTGTCAAAAAACATCATGCATAAAATCACAATGGAGAAAAAAGGATTCATGTAACCGACCCCACGTAGTGGGATTAAGGCTTTGTTGTTGTTGTATCTATGTATCTTTCAATCAATTTTTGATACTTGTTGTAGTGATTTTATTGCACCATTAACAACTATCATGTGGGAGAAACCCTAAGATTTTATTTAAAACAGCTTCGTCGTTCAGCAAATTTTTTTTTGAAAGGAGTATTGGTACGAAACTGAAAATGTCGTCCGTGGTCCAAAATGACGAAAAACTGTCATTCTTGCAAATAACTTTGGGAGCCGCACGACAGACGCAACTTCACCAAACGAAAACTTTAGCAAGTGTCGGCGTTCACTGCAACTTAACAACGGTTTAGCGTCTTCTCAAACGAAGCCTAAATCTTTCTGTCTGTGCGAACTTCATACAATCTTTGATGATTAAACCCCACCATCCTTCACGAATATTCTAATGTAGAATATTTTGGTGCTATTTATGACAAATCATAATCCTCCTCTTTCTATTCAACAACTCATAGAATGAAAAATATGTGACCTTCTTTTTTGGGTGGGTTTGAAACAAAACTTATTAAGAAAATGGATTAAATTGTGTGCTCTTGTCGAATAAAGAGTTGCCATAAAAGAAGATTTTCTAGTTATAACTTATTTAGTGTGTTTGATATGCATCAATAATTTCCAAATACAAAGAGGTCCTCCATGAGAGTCACTCTGACCTCACCTAGCAAAATTATGATGGTAGTTTATATAATTGTGTGTGGAAATGATATTGGACTTAAATTACTTTATTGCTTGAATGATACACATATTTGCATGGACCATGCATTGGCTAGATCATCCACCAACTTGAATTTAACTCGCAACCAAAAATTAAATTAAATTTGACTATGTTAAATGAGTTATGTGTGTCTAGTATAGGCCAGTTAAAGAAGGTCCTTTTTGGGTTAAACTTTTTGATATGTTGAATATTTTTGTTGGGTTTAGGTCAAATAGTTTTGGGTCGAGTTAATTTTTAAAGTCAAACATGTTCTGAAAACCTATTTTTTATGTTGGCAATCATAGATCACTAAAAAAACCTATGAAGGGTAGATTAAAGAGTTGGTGTAGAAGGTGAGTTCAATATCTTTTTCATTTTAAGTTTCTTCTTGTGCTTCTTTGTTTTTGAAGCCCTATTATCAGTATTGTTTTATTTCGTGTTTTTTTTGTGGTTATCTTGATTTTTTTTACATAGTTTTTGTTTGTTGGTTTATGTTTTGAGTTTCTTCGGTTATGACTAGTCATTTCACCTAATGGCTCTTTTGGATGACATTCTTTAAAGGTTCACTATTTTTTTTGTATTTGCAACGAAATGTGTTTTTTCCATGCTAATCATCTTTGTACATAATTGTTCTATAGAAAATGAGATCAAGCACTTCAACAAATATCCACCAGTTTTTTGTGCCTGCAATCTATTTTGCGTCATTTTTACCACTCAGATAGGAGACAATCTAGGATGAAAATTTTACAGATGAGAAAACAATTTAACAAATAGATATTGCAAATTCTTCCAGTGGGCTGATGAACCTAGAGATACACCACTTGTGCAAGTTGACGAGAAGATATATGCAGTTGATGATACAATGAAAAATTATGTTAGAGACCTGAAGTTTTGGCTTTAGTTTTATTCAATTTTGTGATTGTAGCATTGTTTTTGTTGTAAATATTCTGATTATGAACTTATATTTCAGACAACAAACTGTACTACATTAGATTTTTATTTTGTAAGCAAACTTATTTTTTTGGACCATTTGATGTACCACAATTTCTACTTATCGTGTTAATGTTAGAATGTATAATTTGATGATATTTTATGATTCAATCAATGTCGACATCTATTTGTTTTATCATGAAATTCTGAGTGAAAAAAAAAAAACATGATAAATTGTGATTGGATTTACCCCACAGGTAGCACTTTCAAAGTTATGTTTCCATACAATTTAAACTAAACTGTATTTTTATACTGAGATCATTACATTCATTATGCCAACAGTCATTACTTACATAACTGTGTATTTCAAACAGACCAACACCTTCTGAAATGCAGCTGCTGAAAAGCAGATTTTCAATAGCAGCTTCTGAAACCAACTTTTCTACAACTGCAGCTGAAACAAATGCACCCTTACTTCGTGTGACTGAATGTTCGAAAGATACTAATTATGGCAGAGATCAAGGAATCCGCACAGTTGGATTAAAAGTAATTGGCTTTTGTTTTCTCTGACATGTTTTGCATTTCTCATACTTGAATGAAAGAATCAAATCAACATATAAGCTCCCATTACAAGCCTAGAACAGTAGTCAGAATCTAAAATAAAAAAATGTCACCTTTACAACGCTATGATTTCAATTAATCTACATCAAATGATCTGAAACGATTATTAAAAGAAAATCCATCACCTCCACTGATCATCATGATCATACTCCTCAAGGAGACGGCGGCGCCGGAATAATCCCCACCACCCCCTCCAACATCTGCGTAACCTGCCCCATTGTTGGCCTCAAAGCCGGCTCTTCTTGTACACACCACAACGCCACCATTACAAACCTCTCCACCCTCCCCATATCCCCAATGGCCTCCTCATCTCCCTCAACAAGAGCATCAATCCTCCCATCATTATAGCAATCACTCACCCAAAAAGTAAGCAAAGCCTTCTCCTCCTCCATCTCCTTCTCCACATTCCTCCTACAGAACAAAATCTCCAAAATCATCACCCCAAAACTGTAAACATCCACCTTTGCACTTATGCCGGAGTTCCTGAACCATTCAGGCGCAACATACCCCTTCGTTCCTCTTATCCCCGTGTTCGTCCTCGTCTGATCTGTTTTCAGAAGCTTTGCCAGCCCAAAATCCGAAATCCTCGGAACGAAGTTGTCGTCCAGGAGAACGTTCTGCGGCTTTATGTCGCAGTGAATGATTTGGGAGCCACATTCCTCATGAACATACCGAAGCCCCCTCGCAATCCCAATCATGATTTCCACTCTTTGTTTCCATGGCGGCTTGATTCCACTAAAGAGGTAGCTCGCGAGAGAACCGTTGCTCATGTACTCGTAGACCAGAAGCCTCTTCGTGTCTTCGTTGCAGTAGCCAAGCAGACGCACCAGGTTCTTATGATAAGTTTGTCCGATAGACTTCACCTCGTTGCCAAATTCCTTATCAATCTCCGGCTGTAAATCCCGTAGCTTCTTGACTGCTATGGTTCCGGTGAGTTCCGCACCAATATATCCTTTATAAACCGTGCCACATGCTCCTCTTCCAAGCTCTTCATTGAAGCCATGGGTGGCTTCTTCAAGCTCTCCGTATGTGAATGCCTTAACATTCGGCCCCAAGATGCTGTCTTTAAGCTTCTTCCCCTGTTTCCTTCTGCTTGCGCGAAGAAACATAACAGTTAGAGTTAAAATAATGAAATTCAGTGCAACGGAGCCGGCGATAGCTAGATAAGCTAGAATGCTCAAAGTTCTCGTCTTGGCAACATAAAAGCTTGGAAGATCGCCATCGTTCCCCAGTTTAATAAAAGCCGTTCTGTTAACATAGCTTCCCTTCCTCCCGTTAGAGAAAGGCAGCTTCTTTTTCCAGCAATTGCTCTGGCCATCGTGAATCGAAGCCGCGCAGAAGCAATCATCCAAACACTGCTGCATGCACTCGGCCTCATCCATTGGGCTAAACTGATCATAATCCTGTCCCCAAAAGTCGAGTTTTTCGACTCTCTCCATCTGAAACCCCTCGCTCGGCACACCGGAGATGCAGCTGGGCATGGTGAAGTTGGGCCTGCAACCCAAATAGGTCCTGTTGGCATCTCGCCATGAATAGCCCGGAGGGCAGTGGCAGGAGACCATCTGGGTGGTGTCGTAGCCGCAGTTGCTAATGGAGGCGCAAGCCCCGCTTCAAGCTCCGCTTCCGGGGGAAGTGAGGAGAGACTGGCAGATGTCGGGGGGCTTGAAATCCATGATCAGCCACTCGGGGGAGCCGCCTGAGAAAGCGGAGGGCTTTGGGTGAACATAGTGGCGGAAGACGCCGTCGTAGTCGAGGGTTGCTCGATGGTAGAAATCGGAGGTGGATTTCGTTGTTGCAGAGGTTAGAGTTGTTTGAACGGTTCCCGCAGGGGATATCAGGTCGATTGTCCCGGAAAGGTTGAAGACGAGCCTGCGGCCAGAGCTGGTCGAGAAAATGGAAATAAAGAGAAAAGGTGTAATTACAACAGACCCCCTCAGAAAATTGATATTTATAAAAAAATTGTCATTTGTTATATATATATATATATATATATATATAAATTAATTAAATTATTGAGAATTTGATAAAAATGAGAAATATGATTTAGGGCTTCTATTGATATTTTCAATTAATCATTCATAAAAATTTTTTTGAAAACTAAGATGTAGGTAGGGTTGTCAATGAGCTGAACACGAGCAAACTCAGGCTAAGTCGTTTATGTTTCGAGCTCAAAAAGTGTGTTCGTGTTTGACTCATTTGCTTAGTGAGCCGAACACGAGCTGTTCACGAACAAGGAGTCGTTTTAACAACCCTAATCACGTAGCCATAAGACGTTGATGGTTGAGGCAAGATTTAAAAATTATTGTTTATATTAAAACATCATTTGAATCTAATTTAGTGTTTTTTTATTCTATTTTCTTAATTAATACTTTTGATTGATTATAAATCTTTAGGAACAAATTTTTGTTTGTGTTCGACTCATTAACTTAGCGAACGAGTCTAACACGAGCTTCTTAACGAGTCGAACACGAGTTGTTCACGAACAAATAGCCGTCTTGACTGCCTTACATGCAGGTGTTTGGGGATCAAATTATTGAGAATTTTATAAAAAATAAAAAAATATGGGCTGGGATTTTCTCGTGAATTTTGATATTTAGGTGAGAGGGGTGGACTTGTAAATATGAAGTTTATGGTGGTATGTGTGTACTTGCCCAAAATATTAAATAAAATAGAATCAAACACGCTTTCCGTATAGTTTTTTTAGATGAAGATTTATATATATATACCGTATAAGAAGTATTTTATGTATTTACATTAATAATAGAATGTGTGATTTTAGATATATTTACTAATAACATATAAGTATAATTCTTATGAATTTACATTAATATTAAAATTTATATGCATGGAGCCAAACTTATTTATATATTTAACTCCTAATTACCAAAACTAATAATTAAAAAAAGGATTTTTTTTTAATTAAAAAAATTAATAATAATGATTTTATTGATGTAATATTAAAATTTTGAGAGTTATATAAATAAATATTATAATTTAGATTTATGGAGACATTTATGTATATACCACAAAAATCTAATTTATTAACATACCTAATAGTTAATTTTCAAACTTTTAATAATTCATCAAAAATATTTAAGGATAATTTAAAGACTTGTGTTGAGATAATTAAATTGGAGTTACTTGAAATGAAGGAACATTATTCTATTAGGACTCCTAACATAGAGATGCGTTCGGAGTCAACTGATATGCGAACTTGTGGCTTTAAGGAAACACGTGCGTTTTTCTGTGATCTGACCCGATAACACAGAAGAATATTTCTCCTGTGTTATTTTGTGTTATTTAAGTGTTATTGTAGTGGTGTTGATGTATTATTGTGATGTTATAACAACGGGAATATTCCCATAACACAATAACATATGAATATCATCACAATAACATATAAATATCATCACAATAACACCTGAATAATGTGGTAACACAGATAGGAATAGCCAAAAAGATTTTTTTTTTTTTCCAAAGAGAATTTTACATACATACCTCACAATTCTTATGGATTTACATATCCATATATAATTTAATATTTATATTTATAATAAATTGAGGTCATAAATATATTCATAAAAAATATATATTTTATTTTAAAAATACCTGGAGTTGGCGATGGGGAGATTAGTTGCCCAATATGAACTGTACTGATGTCCGGTGGGAACGGCGATCTGGTAGAAGACGAGATTGCCGTCCGGCTGCATCTCCAACTTGAACCGCCCCTCGCTGAAATCACCATTGTTCACCTTCGCCACCAGCTTCGAATCGGGTTTTAGGGTTTGCGTGGGCACAATCGTGTCCGTCGGATCCGAAAAGCTCTCCCACAAAACAGAGCTATCTGAGCCCGCGAGAACAAAATCGCCCGTATCAAGCATGGCGGCGTAAGCGGCGGCCGGAGCTCCGGGGCTCCAGACTTCGGTTCCGGCGGGATCTCGGAGCGAGAGCCGACCGTCGGAGGTGAGGATGACGGATGAGTTGGGAGAAAGGGGTTTGTCTCGATTTGGGGTCCAGATGATGGTGGTGGGGGTGGTGGAGGGGAGATTGGAGAACCAGATGGCGAGGAGGAAGAGGGAGGAGTTGGTGGGGAGGGGGAGGAAACCGAAGGCGAAATCGCCGGAAGGGGATAGCCAGGAGAGGTTTCTGTCGCCGGCGGTGGTGGTGGTGAGGAAGGAGGTTAGGGTTATGTTCTTGCTGGATTGGGATGCGGAGGGAGTGAGGATGGTGGCGGCGAGGAGGAGGATGAGAAGGGATCGAGAATCCATTGAAGAGTTTGGAGTGGGTTGCCGCAGATGGGATGGTTCGATTTTATTGGGTTTTGGTCGTCGAGGACTTTGAATTTAAAAAAAAAACGGACAGCGTACGAGTTTTCTTCAAAGATGAGTTGCCGGCCCACTAATCATTTCATCAATAGGGGTGGGCCCCGATAAGATTTGCCAATTTTTACTCTCCTAAAATATCACTTTGTCTTTCATTATCTAATCCTTTTTACGTAGGATCCAAGGGTCAATTTCTCCTTAAAAAAAAGTTTATTTTTGCCCTTGCAATCATAAAATATTATGTGCTGATGTTGGTGTGGATTGCATAATGTTGTCGAACGTATTTCATAATGTGATCCTCGATATTGTCTGCACGTCCGGCTAAAATCGGACGTAATATTCTCACGCTTAGTAACTCATTAGCACTAAAGAAAGAACATAAAATAAATGTTTAGTGAATTAAAAACATAATTATTAAATGTTTGTTTTTATTCAGAATAAATGCTATTTATGTATGTTTTTATTAAGAGTCTAGTTGATCGAGTTTATTTTGTCAAGTAATCAATAGATTTATTCCAATTTCTATAGTAAACTTAGCCAAGAAAATAAATTTACTGGATTAAATCAATCATTTGATGACATTAAGCTGCAGTTGACAAAAAAATATTGCACATGAACTTGTCAACAAAGAATGTCATCAAGCAACAAGTAATCATTAGGTCTGTGGAGGCATGAAGCCCTCCAAGCACACTGGTGGGTGACATGCCTTGTAGCATGCTAATTTTTTTTTATTATTAATATTTCTTTTTAATGAAATTGCATTTTAAAGAAATGTATTTCCATGTTTTTGTTGTAGGTATAATTGGGAGGTGATTTGGAGCAAATTGTAGCGAAAATTGAGTGAAAAAGAGGGAAATGAAGCAATGAAGCAACAACAAGTTTGCGCCTTGGCACTGCTCCATGGCACCATGGCGCCGTAGATGGGCGTCGCAGATGTCATTTGATGTCCATCAAACAGAGAACATGGCGCCACATACCGATGCCTAGGCGCCACAGACCAACGCCTAGGCGCCAGTTATTTCACGTGCATACCCGAGAAGATGGCGCCTAGGCGCTAGAACTAACTTATGTTGTTTTTGCAAGCAGTTATGGACGAATTTGGAGGTTATGAGCGGGAAGAAGCAGTTCTAACAGAGATGGGGATCATTTGTAAAGCCAAGGAAAGGGTCTAAGTGTACAGAAAAGTAGAGTTTAAAGTTAGATTTTGTATTTTTCGACATTTTCTTAGAGAGAATTGATAGGATACTGTAAAAGATTGTTGTAAGCAGTGCAAGGAACACTTGTAAATCATTTGGGGAGGAGTTTTTTCTTCTTTTCTGAGGGAGAAAGATAAGTGTTTCAATATATAATGTCTTATATTAGTTGTAAATTCATTGTGATTGAATTTCCTTTATTATAATATAATAGATTGTTGTGTTTTCTTCATGCATTGTGAGTAGATCGTTTTTACCTTTCTATTAATATGAAGTAGTAGTATGTGTAAGATATGTGAATATATTTAGAATTAGTTCTTATTCATAATTGTGATGGTTTTTACTTCATGCTTCATTTACTTATCAATCCGGTCAATTGGTATGTTAAAATCTGTTATGAATCTATAATGATCCTAGAGGGTTATGACTTTAACAACTAGAGAAGCCACATTGCACTATTAAGTGAAGGAAAAGTAGTCCACGGGGTAGTGCAAATAAATATTAAGATAGGTTTTGATGGGGGTAACTTGGAGATTTCTAGAGTCTCTAGGGTGACAGACAGAAACACTTACCTAGTTAAAACAAACTTCTTTATGCACTCAAAAGAGGGTAAAGAAGAGGAATGTTTTTATTTGTCAAGTGTCCCATTCCTATACAAATTACTTACTTTATTGCAAGGGGAGGGTATTTTTCATAAATTGATCTTTCTCAACTTTTTTAACTTTAGTAAAATTAACTTTAGTGTAAATCTATATATTTAATGATAATTTGGAAGAATTTACAAGCACAATTTAGATTGACTTTACTTCTAGGCTAAGACTCATTATAGTAGTCTAGAATGTTTCTTAAGTTTTTAAAATAATTGCCTTCCTTGTAGGATCAATACTCAGACTCAAAAAACTGATACTACTTGAATGATCCGTACACTTGGGTAAAAATATCTAGTGTGCAGTTCTAAATTGTGAAAGAACTCAGGTTATAAAATTATAAAACATGTTTTAGATTTAAAATATTTCATCCAAAAATACTACGTATTCGATAGAATGACCGCTATTTACACTATGGTATACCTGATGATTTGGGATTATAAATTAAAATTTTAAAAATATATTTTATAAATTAAATCTCTGAATTTTTCACTCTTACACACTTCACACTAGGTAAAAACTCAAGTGCACATATTGATCAAGAAATGTAGGACTTCTTTTATATCCCGAGTATCGAACCCACAGAGAAGTTTACAAATTTGACGGACTTGACCTAGGCCTTAGCTGAATCTAGAAAGCCTTAGCTGGGAAATTGGTTTGATTAACGATGAGCTAATAATTTGATTAAACTACTACTAAATTTCTAAGTGATCTAATCAGCTCATTTAACTATGCTAAATTAAGCAAAAAAGGTTTAGACTCATCACACTAAGCTAAAGTAAGTTGGAAATTCAAGTTATCTAGAAGTTCCCACCTTTTGTAATGAGACTAATAACTAGTGTAGATTCAATTAAAACAGAATTCTTAAGTAAAATATATGACAAATAGGAGCATACCCATTTTGTACCCTTTTTCAAGTGCATAAAGAACCTAGGTTAACTGAGGACTAGTTTCCGCGTGTTACCCTAGAAACGTCCAAGTTATTCTCGCTAAAATCATCTTCTTTTTTATTTGCACTCACCTCATGACTACTTTTCCTTCACCCTAAACGTTAATTTGGTACTCACTAGCTATTTAAAGTCATAGGCCTCCTGGATATTATGGGTTCACAACGAATTTTAACATCACAAATGACAAATTTGTAAGGTAAATGAAGTACAGGTGAAGCACCATCACATTCAATAATGTAATTAGATTCTACTTTAATTTGAACCCTATACATGCCACTAATCCATTACAAAAGGAAAAAAGTAAGGATATTCCATTACAAAAGAAAAATGATTAGGATATTACTCAAACTTCATGGAGTAAACACAAGAACACGTTGCTTTATAATACCTCAAAGTCTTACAAGATAAAATATACATAGAACAAAACAATGTGCAAATAAAACTTATCTCCTTCATTGTAATCAACAAAGACACTCCACCATAAAAGGGACTTCTGAAATACCTCTACAAATCTTACATTCTCATTACAATATCTCTCAAATGTTACTCTTAAAATGCAAAAAAATACAAAGAAATCTCTCACTCTCCCTCAATCTCATGCACTTCATAGCTTCCTTGAACTCTTCAAATGTTCCTCTCTACGTCTCTAATGAAAATCCCCTTGAAAATGTCTTAAATTCATGCTTTAACTGTAGAGAAACTGCATTGGGCAGTTCCAGCGCCTAGGCGCCCAACTGTAGTGCCTAGACGCCACTCATTTCTTCGACTAAAATTATAAGCTGGCACCTACGAGCCAATATGTGGCGCCTAGGCGCTACCTTCTCTGTTTGCTGGAGGAATAGCTGACACTTATGCACCAAAATATGGAGCCTAAGCGCCACTTCTTTTGTCTTCTCCACATGCTTCAGTGCTTAAGCATAGGAAGTTGGCACCATCAGGCCAAATAGTGTCACCTAGGTGCCATAATCTGACACCCAGGTGCCAAAATCTGACGTCTAGGTGCTAGTCGCGTCAGCTTCCTTAGCTTCATTTGTTCTGTTTTCGCTCAAGTTCGCTCCAAATGGTTAACCTATTTTATTTACAACAAAAATATAAAAATATCTTTCATTAATGTGCAATATCATTAAAAATAAGTATAAAATGTAGGAGTAAATTTAGCACTTTTAAAGGACATATCACACGTCGGTTAGTGGGATGCTCCCCCATAGAAAGTACAAGTGAAGGCTGATAAGATTTCATTTATTCTATAAGGTTTTCTATAGTTCAAATTTGTATTATAACAATTATGTTTTATGGACAGGCTGTAGAGAGTGGACGAGAGCCCTCAGCCGCCGATTTACATGAGTGCACCTGCAGGAGGTGGTCCACCAATCCCGGATCGAAGATAGATCCGATCCAACCCAGTAATAGAAGAGTTGAACTAGTTTGATGTTAATAAATGTTAGCTCTAATTGAATGTAAAAATTTTTGTTCCAGGAGAGATTCTAGGAGTTGAAGGAGAGTCGATCCCAAGCGTCAGGAGGTATTACGATCTGTGAGTGTGATTCTTCTGAGTATGACATGTGTAGGGAGGCTACTTGAGGGAAGAAGAAAGGTTGAATCTACGGGCTCGGGTCGCGGGGGTTTGCATACGACGCTTGCCCCTTCACCAGTGCATCTACAACTTATTCCTCTACCTCACAAGGTGAGGAGATCTCCAGGCTTCTCGCGACATTCTATGCTGAAATGGAGGTCCGCTTCTCTCAGATGAGGTCAGAGCTGGAGGCCAACAGGGAGGCAAAGAAAAAGGCTGAGTTGGATTATTTCTAGCAGCAGATGAGGGAGCGTGGAAAGGCATCAATAGCATTGAAGGAGGAGGAAGCGGCGGAGGACGATGAGGATGAGGTTAACGAGATAAAGGATGATGATTAGAAGGGGCTTTTTTTTCATTTTCTTATGTTTATGTACATTTGAACATATATTTTTTTTGTGGACAGTGATGTACATATTTTAGAGTAAATTAATTTTATTTATTTCATTATTTGATTGAATAATTCAATGTCTGACAGCTATAATATTTCGCTAAATGCTTGGAATTGTAAATACAAAAGAAAGAATTTGTTTTTTTCCCTTATGCTACAGGTTTCCGACTGTTCCAAACTTATCTGTAAACAAAACTGACAGTTGGTCAATTGACATTTTTACATACGCCTAACACACACATAACCGACGACTCGAAGTGTGT